TTAATGATATGATATTTTGGAATTCTCATTTTTTACCACACAACGCGAATCGCCTGGGCCCGCCCCTGGGGACATCCGGACATGTAGCCACTATATGATAAAATTTATCAGGCAATTAAGTTATAAGCAATAGAATAGCATTTCATAAATTATGGGACTGAGATTCTTACTATGATCCATCTACTCGACTCGTATTAGCTCCAATCTCATTTCCTAAAAAAAATTCGACTACTATTAACTCGGTTAATGGTAAATTAATTACCAACAACCAAGTCCAAAGGACCCGAAAACAACATGGACCGTAGGGTGACATTAAGACTAGGGTTTCCATGTGGGGTAACCATTATTTGTGCTAGAAATTTTAGAAATTATTTGTCATATTTGAAGTGTTGAATTTAACTGTAAGTTGATAATTACTTTTGTATTTAATTGCCATTAAGTCACCATGTGAACAAGAAACTAATTTTTTTGTTGACATACTTTCGTATTGCATTGATAATTTTATTAGAACACTTGGACTTGATCCATTTGACCATTCATTTGATATTTCGATCGTGAATTTCACGAAACTTTGGGAATCTAGAATGATGTATATTGCGATTTTAGGATTACTTTGTATGACTTATTTGTGCATTGTTCTATTATTCAAGATATCTTCATAATTCAAAATTGAAATTTTCAAAGAAAAATGAGATTTTTCAACTTAGAAATAAAGATGAAGGAGATTTTGATTCAATAAAAAATTTCAAAAGTTATATATGACAAATTTTCTGCAAATTTGACAAAAGTACAAAAAAGAAGAATATGATGAACTTACTTACACTTTAATTATTTTACACCTATCTGACATTGTTTTGTGAAAAGTTGGAGGACTTATATTTGCTTAAGTCTACTCCTAATAACTTGTAATTGCTTGAAAGATCAATCAAAAGATTTTGATAACAATTTGGACGTTTTCAACAAACTCATTTAGGACATTGTTAATTGTGATGAAAATGTATTTGAAACATATAAGACAATTATTTTGCTGAATTCTATGTCTGACTCATATAGGAAGGTTAAGAATGCGATTAAGTATGGTATGGACACCTTAACACTTGAAATTGGCATTGATTTCTTTAGGAGTAAAGAGATCGGTCTTAAGGCTGAAAAAGATGATAAAAGGAAAAGTGAAATACATATGATGAGGAGTAGAATGAAGTTTAAGCAATTGAATTTAGATAGAGCTTAAGACAGAAGTGACTAGAGTGATGAGAGTAGTAAGAAGAATGGCAAGGGTTGGGACAAGTCAGATGGTAAGCGGTGTTACAGTTGTGGTAAGTATTGACACTTTGTGGGGGACTGTCCCAAGCAGAAGGGTAAGATAAGAGGTGAGTCGAATGTGGTTATATGGTCAAGTGATGACCCTGTGAGGTTTATCGAGAGTAAACTTAGTTATTGCATGTGCATATGTGTGTAATCATTTCTGCATGTGTGTGATTGCTTAATTATGTTTCATGATTATATCACATTTCAATATGTTTGATATGCACATTTGCATGAATTTGAGAGCAATTTGATTATTTGGTGTAATGTGTTTGCATGCATAGCAGGTTGAGATGTATTAATAGCAAGTGTTGTGTATCTTTAGGTAATGTCGAGTATAGATGCATAAGGGTACATTGGTGGTATATATCGAAAGTGTAGAGTGTGACATTTGGATAACGAGTGGAAATATAATTAAATATTTACACGTGGAGTGTGAGAGTAATATTATATCACTTCTAGTAGGTGGAGACCCATTATCTACTTAATTTGGAGAAGTGAAGTGGTGATAGAGGATTATCCTGTGGACTTAGAATTTATTGTGGTTTATCAGTTAGACATGAGTTGAGTGGTTAGTCTAGTGAGCATGTAGGGCTATGAAAAGAGATATGTGTTCTCAAGGTGTGAGCAATATGGAATGAGATACGATAAGTGTGATAAGATCTTTTCGTGGGGTTATTTTTGCATTTATTATATGTGCTTGATTATTTGATTGATTAACTTGGTGTTAATCTGAGGCTCTTTGTGAATGTGTTTGAAAATATCTATGTTATCATATATTATATATTCATCGCATGTTTATTTGTTTTTGATTAATTATTGTGATTACATGTTTTCTATTTGAGTATTTTCTTGATCTTAGTCCTGGTGAGTATATGGAGCAAGTATGATATGTGTTTCTGGTCCAAAACATGAGGTAAAGTCTGTGATCTCAATTTTATTGATTATCTAGATTATGCAAGTATTAACTTTGTGTTTTGTTTATTTACAGATTGATTGGATATCAAGGTGGAGATTTGTTGAGTTTTGATACCCAATAAACTTCGGGCTATGATGTAAAACGTTAGAATATAATTTCATGAGTCTTATCCAATGGTGAATTGATTACCAACAACCAAATACAAAGGCTCGAGTCGAAAAGAACATGGACCGTTGGAAGTACTTAAGGAATTAATATTACTCTCGATCCATATATTTACCTATTGGATGACTTTTAATCTTGACACATTTAACATCTTTATTGGTTCAACTAAAGCCTAACATATTCATATTTACATGTTGCTTAACCGAACCGCTTTTTGTGTGTGATTTGTGTGTAAAGAAGAGAAAAATGTGGCTGCCTATTGCTGGAGACAAACGTGTGAGTTGAGGGTGAAAATCGGTGTCTTCCTCATTTGATCTTGGTCTCTTCTTTGTGCCTTCTTTTGTTGTTTTACTTATTGCTTTTGTGGCTACAAATCAATACCTCTATCTTATCCTTTGTGAGCAGTTTTTTAAAAGTCATGCCTAAGCATGATGCATGGTGAAAGCAAATTGGCTTGGTACCTTATAAATTTGTTTTAGATATTTGGTAGGTATTATTTTTAACTATTAAATGATTTTTTAATTGATTAAAAATTAAAATAATATTAAGCCACTGTTTGAGCCATATTAAAATTTTTCATTCTCATTCTTCTATTCATTTTCAATCACACATTTTTCAATAAAATAATATTTTCCATCACATCAATAACTTTTCCTTCTTTTTCAATCAAACATTCTCCATCAATCTACTATTTCAAAATACATTCTTTTAAAATAATGTGGCTCAAACACAAACTAAAATAAGAAAACATATTTTTACGCCTTAACCTTGCTTAAACTCACATAACCCATAAGTTGACCTCCACTTTTAGAACGTTGTTTGTGAGTGAAATTGAGAAGCAACGGAAGTGAATGTATTAGCTATGAGACGAAATTGTTTGGATTGATTATTTGGTAGAAAAGGTAACGTTAAACTGAGCTCAAAAATTACCATTTCGAAGATATTGGAACAAACTTGTGCGACATCTCTAAATATAGTTATGATCACTCAAGCTCTCTTGACTATTACACAAGTTCAGTGTCGTTTATCCTACATGGTTACCTTCAATCCTTTCATCTCCTTTACATAGATGGTGAAGATCAATTCTTGAGATTAATTTTCTAGAACCTTTTATCCTAAATATCTAAGATATCTATAAATAACTTTCTTGAGAAGGTTAAACTCCATACCAAACTCTCCAATGCATATTCAAAATTCATCTATGAAACACTCTAGACTATTGTCTTTTACACAAGGTTGTAAATTGTTTTTTGTCTGGAAACCTAACTGTGTGTCTTCCAAATGTGCATGCTTCTTTGCTTGCATAATCTGCATTCTATCCGTCTAGCATTTGGCTACATCCGCCCCTGCGGCCCTGCCCCTGCCCCTGTGGTGAAGCCTTGATATTGCACGCCTAGTTTCTGTGCTGCGCATAAGCCACTTCACTTTTAGCTCTTGGGCAATCAGCCTTCGACTCTGTGCCTGTAGTTTCCTCCGCCCCTCCTCCTAGATTGCCTTCTTTCTTGAAGACTTCAATTAGAATTCTTAAATTTAAGAGACGAATACAAAAGGCAAGTTTACACTACTTCATTGTATGAATTGTCTTCGCAAAACTTGAAAGCACTACAAAGAAATCAGCTCAACACATCGTCCCTGAAAACACTAAACATTTTCATGAGATTCTAGTTGAATATTGCGGGAAATGTCCACGACAAGGAAGAAAATAGGAACAAAACCTTCATGTTTCTGCTGTACAAATGGAAAATGGAAGTTTCATTTATTTGGTCAAAACCTCTACATTCCTACATTGTCACTGCCTCTATCCATTAGAATCCTCAACCTTCGAGTTGATTTCATGAAGTCACTGCAATATCCATGAAGAAAAGTTACAAATTCATGATAAAACTAGAGAATAAGCTGATGCAGCATAATATAACATCATGTTCATATAAATGAAAAATATGAACTTAACTTACCTAAAGGGTTCATCGCCAAGTTGTCTAACTGCACCTGTCACATCCTGATAGAAAACATGGTTCAAGATCCTAGAACTATCAATGTCAAACATGCTTGTCAACTTTTTGCACAGTTCTTCATAAGAACTAAACAAAGAAAGGTTGACACTGCGACCCACATCCTCATATTCCATGAAAACCTTACAATGACTGGCCTCCAAGTCGAGCTTGGGATGAAAGCCTTCACTTGATAATCGCTCTGGAGTACTATGTTGACGTAAAGTATGATCACGTCCATCAGAAGTATTTTTCATATTGTCTAAATTACCTTTCGAAGAACTTTTGCTCTGAGAAATTTGTTGTTCAGTAAGTATTGGTTGACCAAAAAGCACAAATGGGGTCGTCTTCCCATTATCAGAATTCTTTGAAGTAGGGATTGAATTTCCTATAGTTTGTAGACAAGAAACACTCTCATTATTGCCAGGGTTTATTGTGTTTGAATTGAAGGCTCCCTTGGATAAAGCAGTTTGAAAAAAATCGGACTGTAGTTGTCTAATGTAGAAATCTGATAACGATAAACCATATTGAGCATGCCTGGCTCCCTGCATGCCAGCAGGAGTGTTGTCACGAAGATAACCAAAGAGGTTGCCAGAACCTATTAATTGCCCACCAGAAAAAGTCGGCAAAGGATAATGACCATTTAGAGAGAACTCGGGATGTGGTAATCTCAGTTTCTTTTGTGGGGGTGAGAATGGAGAGAGATGGATGGTGGGCATGTTTGAAACTAATTCCACCAACCAAGGATTGACACTTTTCACATTTTGAAGCAATTCAGGCTCATCCCATGCTACCTGCAATGATTATCCTGGATTAAGGCATGAATGTAATAAAATAAGTAGAGATTATCGAGTTCTTTGACATTACATTCGAAGAGCATTTCCCTAATCACCAAACAAGAAGATAAAGTTCAACAATAAGACATAATACATCAAATGAAGCTCGTTTTGACAATTCACAATTTTCATAAATGGTAGCGTGATAGCAAAATTCTGACTTATAACTTGCAAGCAACAAAATGGGAGGCACTAAAATATATGTTGCATTTGCACCCCTGCTATTTTTATCATAGGTTTCAGATACTCATGACCTGTAACATATATGTCTGAAGGTAGAATAGAATCGTTCAACAATTGAAAGAACATATACATCAAAGCATTAGTCATATCGAGAACATGAGTACTGAACCTAGTTATTGCATCATTCAAGCTCGTAAGGAAATTGTATGCAAGATTGATGTGAAATTGCTAACAAGAGTTTGCTGTTTGAACTTCAAATCATAGCAGAATATGTGCAAAGAATACGAAACTACTGATTAAATACCAAGAAAAGTTCAACACAAATATAACTCTAGCCGAAGTTGCATCTGAGAAATGTCTTAAACAAATCATATCACCTGGAGTAGCCGCCAAGGTGAATCAGGCCAGTGAACAGGATCAACAACCTGAGCTGTGGAAATTGTTCCCATGAACCAACTAACACGCGAAGAATCCTCTGTTTCAAAGGCCATTTTGAACCTCATTCCAGAGTACCATTGAATCTGTAGTGCCGTTTTTACGAGAGAAGCCTTCACACAGAACTCGGGAGTGCTAGCTCGAGGATAATAAACCACCTCAAATGGCTGTCCAGCAGCAGCAAGAGTTGCAGCTTCAAAAACTGATTCTGCCTTCACTCTTCCCCTGCCAGTCGAATTCCCACTAGAATTTTGGTTACCATTTCTCGCCAACTTGTTCTCGCTTTCTATCAGAAATGATGAAAACCCTCCATACGGCATAACACTATTCCCACGTGCTGGATTCCACCCCGTCGGGGCTTCATGTCCAGCAGCAATTTCCCTCTTCGCTCGCCTGATTCCAACACAAAGATCCCCATTTTCTGCCCTCAGAAACACAATTGAATCGCCTGCCACAAGCTTCTTATGGTTCACGAATGAACTCCAGCCTGTTGTCAACAGATGACGCCTTGGTGTCCCTCTGAATATATGTCTGAATTTCCAGGTATCCCCATGAACATCCTTAGCAAGAATGGTCTGCACTGGAGGATCTGCAGTATAGTCCAAACGAGGAAAAAGTGTCTCCGCACAATATCTAGGTACCGAAAAACCACCACCATTATTTGCATCTGATTGAGTTAACGTCTTCGCAAAAGACGGGGCTTTGTCTGTATTCTCTGATCCATTATTTCCATCAACATCATCATAGTCAAAATCAACATCATTCCCACTAACAGGAACCAATTGAATTTTTGCAAAAACCTCATCGGTCTCAGGATCTGCCATGAATTTAACTGCAGAAACTCTACAAGGCACATAAGCCGGAATCCTCAGACAACTCCTAAAATCTACATTCCCACAGGCATGCTCTGCGTGGCCTTGAGGAAAATAAAATACCTTCGTGTTCACTGGTGGAATTTGCGTCATACTGCCGGCACAGGCATGCCATAATTGAGAGTCCAAACCTCTCTCAGTTTCCTTCGTTGTTTCTTTATATTCCATAAAAACTCTCATCAAATCTATTTCTCTCAATTAAATCAGTTCACAAAAAAGTCGGTAAGGCAATAAAATAAAAATCATGCAGAATTAAGAAAAAAAAAAAAAAATTTAGCTCAACGAATTCAATTTTATACCCATCTCCAAAATCACCAAAAAATACATAATTTTCCCCAAATGAACTTCTGAACCCCTTCAAAAAATACTTCCATGATCTTCCCAAAACTTCTTAAATCCAACAAAATTTAAACAAAATTCAATTTATAAAACTCTTACTACTTCAATTTAACTACCAAGAGAAAAACCCACAAATTTTTTCCACAGAAAATTCTCACTTTTGCCACAAAAAAACCACACCTCAAAAAGATTGAATCTTTAACTCAGAATTCCACCAAATTGAAGCCCTTTCTATCAATTCTACCCTCTTTCAGTATTCGTCAGGAAAAAAATCACTCAACATTATAACCCATCACCTCTCAATCCATGTCCGAAAAAAAGAAAACAGCACCCATCCTTGAAAAAGGGAAAATTTCAGCAAGATAAAAAAGAAAAGCCCAAATTGATCTTACTCTTGATTAAAGAAAAACCCTTACCATTGAATATCTTCTACTTCAACTCTTTTTCTCTTGTGTTTAAAGCGAACTCAATTCAAACACTGACTGACATACGTAACGTAAGCGCCCTCCCCTCTGTCTCCCACTTTCTCTAGATACTCATGTTCTGTGTGCGTAAGCAGATGTAAAAGCAAGGAGATGATGTGTCCTCTCCTCACATGTACACAAAAAGCCTCTTTTCTGCTCCCCTTTCACTGTTCACCTCATCCGTTTTTTACTTTTTTTTATATTTAGGATTTTATCTATAATTAATTTTCTTACCTATTTCTTCGGATCTGATGTAGTTTGAGAAGTCAACCTAGCAACAAAGTAGCAAGCGATCCCAATCCAATTTTCTTTTCTTTTCTCAAAATAATTCTTTGTTTGACAATCATTATATCAAAATTCTTTAATTTTTATATTTATTTTCAATCACACAATTGCACAATAGAATATTTTACACTTAAATTTAATTTTTTTTTTTTTACTTTTTAATAACACATTCTCCAAAAAATCATTATTCAAAATTTCATTTTTTTCAAAATAATAGTTCTCAAAATAACTTTATAATTTTATTTTCGTAATACTCACTCAATCCCATTTATATGTGTCGACTTTCCTTATTTTCTTGTTTCAATTATATAGTCCGATTTCTTTATTGAGAATAGTTTGTTTGGTTCATTTACTAATATACACTTATTTTTTTACTACTTTTTCAACAATAATTTACTACTAGTTGTTAATAATTAAATATAGGTAAACTAGAAATTTTTTTGACAAAATAAGATTCTTAATCCGTATGAAAAATAAAATCAACTTATATAAATGACACGAAGCAGGTAATGATCGAAGAGTTCGGGTGAGCACGAATGATCACTAGATGACTGTCCAATATATGAAAAAAGAAAAAAATTCTAACGGAACTAGCATAGGCGGTTCACTGGGTGTTGGTTCCGTCCCTACTGTGTTATTAATTATGTAGTAGCGGCTCCCATTGATTATTCTCATTTGAAAATGCTATCCCATCTGTAAAACTAATTGGTGGAAAATAATTGTTACTGTTAATTTCTTGGATTTGAACGAGTTGTTAACTCCATGATTAAACGCTTGCGTAATTATTATTATTATTTGTGTCTTTTTTTTTCTTTTTTTTTTTGGGGAAAATTCTTGGCCACAATATGTATTGGGTCCCTTTAAATTACACTTACAAAAAAGAGGATTTTTAGTCATTTTCAAAACCCAATTTATTGTGAAATTATAGTTGGATTAAATGCATAGTCGGTCTCCCAACTTCGAGTAGTGTTGCACCAGGATCACTCATCTTTAATTTGCTGCAATTATGTCATAAAACTTCTATTTTCTTGCAAAATTTAATCACTTGTGTTTAATTATATAATCAGATTACCAAACTTCAATTTGCTTGCGAATCTTTGTCCTCTGTAATAAGGTAAATGAACTCAGTATATTGATTGGATCTGTTTGGCCCCCCATAAAATTATAATTAATTTTTCTTTCTCTCTTCTTAATAACCATACATTGTTCAATAAAATAATATTACATGTAAATTCAAAGCGTTTTCTTCTTTTTTAACTACATATTCTTTAAAAAAAACAGTATTCCAAAAATTATAATTTCAAATAATGAGAGCCATAAACTAATGGATTGTTGACATGTAAAAATGTGCTTTTAGCATATGAGTTTTATTTAAAAGGTATATTTTAAAGAAGGGTGATGTCTATTGTTGTTTGACGTGAACATGCATGTCAGTCATCGATTAATTTTATCGTTTACCTTAAAATTGTCTTTATTAAATTCATACGTTTAAATACTATACATTCACACCATTTTTATATATTTATTTCATCATAATTTCTTCAATCCTTTTATATATCTATCCACCGTTTTTATAAATGGTTATGATGAGCAAGCACCAAGAATTTGTCCAGATGAAAAGAATAAGAAATTCTATTCCTAATTTTATTCAGTTGTATGGAGAAATTTATAGTTGGAAAAGTGCATTGCTATATTCTTAATTGGTTAATATCTGACATAAGTTTTTCATTGCTCACTTGTATGCTTAAACATTTTGCCACTTTTATTCCCTTCACTTAGGTTACTCTTTGCGGTTTACTTATGTCTTTTGGATGATTGCCTTTCCATATCTCTCTCTTTGAGATCATTTTGGAAACAAAAAGAGCATCAATACACAATTATACGGGAATGTCCACAGTTATCTCTTGGTCCGTGTTTCTTAAAAGTTGGGCCGTTTTCTTTGTGTTTCAGTTTTCTATTTTGAGTTTTGAATTCGTTTTGTGTTTTGTGTTTTGAGTGTCTGTTTTGAAAATATTGAAAATGTGTTCTTTTTGTCATTCCAAAAAATTGCATCTGAAAACACAACTTTAGAAAACACGTTTCCTTTGGAATTTTGAGAAATCAACCAGTCACCACCACTGCAA